TATTAGTGTAAGCATTTTGGATAAAATTTTAACGGTGCAGATTACTTTAAAAATGCTAACGTTAAACATTATCCGTAAATAGTATTTTTAAAATATTAATGCTAATCTCTAACATTATCATCGAACAACCAAAATAATTTTTTACCAACTCAATGGTTTTTTACCAACTCAATTTTTAGCAAGTCTTCCAATCATAGCATATACTATACAAATTTATTTTATGAGTACTTTATCTTGATAGTGTCTCTTAAGCACAAACATGACATTTGTTAACGAGCATCCTACAATTGAAGTGGGAGATATGTAATTAAATACTTATCTTGATTCATAATTCCATCTTTATCTTTTCACAAGAATCAATACATATAATCATTTGGGAGAAATACGAATATAGCACTTTAATAGGCTTAAAATACGCAAAATAGCAGTGCTATAAGTTTTTGAGATGAATTCCCAATATTACCCTTAATTAAACAAATTTGTATTATATATACACTGCCACAGTATCTACACTGCCACAATATATACACTGCCATAATGTTAGCCACAATATGTACTTCCAAAAATTCAATGTTTGAAATACACTGCCACAATATATGCACTGTCAAAAATTCAATGTCTGAAATACAATGCCACAATATATACACTGCCACAATATATCTACACTGCCACAATTCGGGCAATCACAGAGCATACTTCTCATTGTTTCTAAGAAAATATTTTAGTTTGTTTATGAAGAAAATTAAATAAATATACCTTCTGAGAAGAACAAGGATTATGAGATTTTTGAGCAAATTCATGCTGATAACGTGTTGTAAAATGAGAGAAAAACTACTCAGAGATTAAGAGAATAGATATAATATAATACACTGCCACAATATATACACTGCCACAATATATCTACATTGCCACAATATATACATTGCCATAATGTTAGCCACAATATGTACTTCCAAAAATTCAATGTCTAAAATACACTGCCACAATATATGCACCGCCAAAAATTCAATGTCTGAAATATAATGCCACAATATATACATTGCCACAATATATCTACACTGCCAGAATATATCTACACTGCCACAATATAAAGCTTCCATGAGTATCCCATGTCCCATCAACACGTAGCAATATCGTCAAATTTGGACCCATCTGTGATGCTCCTTTTAAATAATAAAAGAGAAAATATTCAATTAAATTAAATAAAGGAATGAACTCAAAGAATAGACGTATAACCTAATATGCGATGAAAATGCTGGATTTAATGGAGGTGGTGAATACAAAAACACATCGTATATATATACATGATAGGC